TTCCAAGCCTGCCTGTTCTGGTGAGTACAGGATCCTTACTGACCACAAGAATGTACATTTGTGTCCTTTTTCTTCCTGTAAAACATGTTTACAGTTAGCAGGGAGCTGTTCTTAAAACTAGATGCTATGTGGTGGCAAGTTACACCCTAGGTGTTAATAATTGTTATATAATATTTAAGGTATTTTCATTTTTCCCCATGAAACTATATGGGGATAATAGCTCTGATTTTTTTTTTTCCAAATACAACATCACTAGGAAGGGGAAGAAGTATTATTTAGCCTTGTACTCTTCAAATTGTCTCCCTCCCTGGAAAGTTCTTGAACCAGAAATTGCTTGGTCCCTTTAAAACAAATAGTTCTCAGTTAAAATTTCATGATTAGTTAGTCCTTCGCTAAACTCACTGTCATGATTCACTGAAGTGAATTTCTTTCTTTTCTGTTTCTCCCTTTCTCCTGCCTCCATCCTTCTCTGTCTCTCCCTTCTTGTTCGTTATGGAACTTAAATATATCTGATATTCTATGTTGTTGGAAACAAATGCTCTGTGCTGCAAAGAAAAGCCAGCACTGAGACAAAGGATCTCTCAGCAAGGCAATCTTTACTTTCTGCAGAAAGGGTACCCTTTCTGGTCACCAAGCATCTGTTTCCAACAATCAGAAATTTGTTTTTAGTGTGCTTATTATGTTTTCCTTTGCATCAAGATGAAAATCAACAGAACAGTGACTTGATGAAGTTTATTTCTGTATCAGGGGTTCTACTGCACAGCTTGGTACATCATAGGTGCCCTGTACCTAAAGGAACTAGATAATTTTCCCTCCAAACTGGAACATCTTGGGTAGTGTAAAGGGTATCAATCTTTATGCCAGGACAATAGAAATGAAACGAGAAGGACAGAAATGAAGACTTTAAAATGAAAAGTGCACTGATGAGGTTTGCGGCTGAAACAGCTTCGTGAGACCAGTCTTCCAATTTGAGATAGAGCAAGAATGGATTTCAAATCTTAAGGAGCACTTCATCATCTTTTGCAGCATGACATCAAAACAGTCTCTCATTGTATAATTCTAGTTAATTGAGCTTATTAGAAACAGAAAGTAAACATGGTGTTCTGAGGTTTTTCTTCAAGAGCAGGAGGAGTTCAGGTGAAGATGGGATCTTCACCTGAAGATGGCAGTGAGTATTTAAGGGTTGCCAAGTGCATGATTTATTTCTTTGGAGACCAGGGAGTCAAGGAGCTATGAAAATGATGTGTCCTGAAGCACAGCAAAAAGAGATACAGAGAAATCTGAGGTCTTGGGTAACAGGGAACTCTGGGATCCCGGTGTCCTGTTGGGAATGGGTCAGGAGGCACCAGCATGTGTGTAGCTGACAGTGGCAGGGAAGAGAAGAGAGGGGTGTCCTCTGAGGAGGGTGAGCAGGAATACAGTCTGGAATTGGCCCTGGGTCATGACCTTGAGCTTTCAGTCCTTGGCTCACATCAGCCCAGTGAGGTCCCGGGACCCAGTGTTGATGCCTGGAGCCTCTGCCAGCAGCATCAGCGTCACATGGAGAAATGCAGACTCTTGTGTCCACCCTAGACTTCCCTGGGTTCAGGTCCAGAGATCTGAGTTTAACAAACCCTGCAGGTGCTGAAGATGGATGGTGCCATTTGAGACCCATTTCCCCAGAAAGAGAGGCTGGTGGGGAGACTGCACTGAGCTGAGAGAAGCCCCCAGAGCTGATCTTCTCCAGCTTCCAGTTGGATGAAATTTCACATTTTCTTTTCTTTTGAAAGGGGAAGCTCAAAAGAAACATGATACCCTGGGCCTTACAGAAGAAACGAGATATCCACGTGGCCAAGGCCCATCGGAGACGAGCTGCCAGGGCTGCCCTCCCCATGAGGCTCACTAGTTGTATCTTCCAGAAGCCAGTGACAAGGATCAGGTCTCATCCTGACAACCAGGCCAGACACAAAAAAGGCGAGGAGCACCTGGAGAAGCCACAGCAGCTCTGTGCCTACCAGAGAATGCAGGCCCTGCCCCCCTGCAGCAGCCAAGGAGAAGGTTCTTCAAGTCCACTGGATTTGGACAGCGTCTTAAGTGTTCTTGCTCCGGGCATGGCTGGGGAATCTCTGGACAGAGCTGGTGCTGAGCTCACACACAGCCGGCCTGAGCCCACCCCTGGGCAGCTTCCAACTGGGGCAGGGGCTCCCCCAGGAGTGAGTTGTCAGCTCCCACCGCCCCTCTCTGGCCAATTGGTGACTCATGCCGATATCCGGAGACAGGCCCGGAAGGTGAAGAAAGCCAGGGAGAGACTGGCCAAGGCCTTGCAGGCAGACAGGCTGGCCAAGGAGGCAGACAGAAACACTGACAAGTAGATAAAGTGGAGGAGGAGGGGGCAGTCAGAAGCTGTGGGAATTGGCTCCAGTGTTGGTGGGGGGCTGTCAGTGGAGACAGTCCTGGGTTTTAAGTCCCTATCTTTTAATTTCCATCCTCTTTGCTACTATCAATTGTCACACTTTCTCCCTCTCCACCTGTTCTTTATTAAAAGTATTTAAAGGCAACAGGTATAAGGAGTGGAAGGTTCTGTGGTGAGAACTCGGGTTTCCTGGGACAAAGAGGGAGACCTTTACACGTCATTATACACCTCAATTTCTGTTTACCGTGATTTTAATTAGTTTTTAGATTCTAATTTAATTTTTGGCTGGGTGTTGTGGCTTATGCCTGTAGTCCCAGCACTTTGGGAGACTGAGGTGGGCATTTCATCAGTGGTCAGGCGTTTGGAACCAGCCTGGCCAATATGGCAAAACCCCATCTCTACTAAAAATACAAAAATTAGCCAGGAGTGGTGGCATGGCCCTGTAGTCCCAGTTACTTAAGACGCTGGGCAGGAGACTCACTTGAACCTGGGAGGTGGAGGTTGCAGTGAGCTGAGATTGCACCATTGCACTCCAACCTAGAGACAGAGCAAGACTCTGTTTAAAAACAAAGAAACAAAACAAAAAAAAACCTGTAATTTAATTTTAGATTAAATCCTTAAAAAAATGAAATTAAATTATGTAATTTTAAATGAAACAAATACAATACATAATTTAATAAAAATTTATTACATTTTCATTTTTAAATTTTCTTTTTTTGAAATTTTCAACCCACGGGTACATGTATATGTTTGTTATGTGGATATATTTGTTAATGGTGGGGGTTGGGTTTATAGTTTATGGGTTACCCAAATATTGAACATTGTACCCAGTAGCTTTCAACCAATGGGTAATTAAATTCAATTAACCTAGACTGAAGGATTATTCAGTGTTTTGTCGTTACATTTTCTCCTTATAATATACATTCTCAAGGAGGTATTGATATGTAGCCCAAGAGATTATTTTTTAATTAAACATTTTTACCACATTTACTCTGATGTGCTTATCAGACATTTTGTGCCTGTATCAAAATATCTCATGTACTACATAAATATAGACACTATGTCCCTTCCAGCTGTTTCATTTTGAGTTTCCTTACCTCTTTCCCTGTCATTGACCAAAGCATGTAATGGAATACTTCACAGCAATTATTTTATGCATGTTCTGGTTAGGTAGAAGCTACTGGTTGTGTTCACTCTTGTTATAACCAAGGGATGGAAAGGGCCGCACTCTGAGTTGGAATCATGAGTCCTTTATTGCCGGGGATGGAGAGTCAGCTCACGTTCAAAATCTCTCTGCCCCAGTGAAGGGGTATGATTTCCCTTTTATATCTTGCTCAGGGTAATGGGGGCAAAGCAAAATTTTACAGAAGCAGAGTAAGCAAATTATGGGAGGAGGCTAGTAACTAGGAAGCAGGAGGCTCCCATGATCGTGGATTAACTAAGGAGGGTACACACAAGCGGTTCCCACGATTGCTGGTTACCAAGGAGGGGCATTCGATACTTTCCATACAATTAATTAAGGGGGTATTCATAATAGCAAGTGGGCTTGTCAAGCAGGATATGGTTACAATGGTTACATGTTTCTGTGGTTTTAAGCACAACATGACCCAGCACCGTGTGACCCAGGTATGCACTTGGGAGAAATGGTGGGAGGGGTGAGGCAGAGGTGAAGATGGAGTCTGTCAGGCTAACACAGGGTAGGTTAGCACACTCTAGCAGAGTTAGGGTGGCAGGAAGTGCCTATCGGAAGCTACTGCACACCAGGCTGGGAGACACAGCAAGACTCTGTCTCTAAATATGTGTAATTTATATATAAATCATACATATAACACATATTATACAATTATATATTATATATATTATATATTTTTATATATAATGTACACTCCCAAAGTGCTTAAGTGAATTACTTAAGTGAAAAATTAAATAATTAAATTATATATAATACACCCCCAAAGTGCTGAGATTACACACGTGAGCCACCTTGCCCAGTCGAGATTATTAACAATAGCCAGGATGGGGATAAAAGAGAAGGAGCAGTGGATGCTGTGAGCCTCAACCTGGAGTCCTGTCCATGGCCAATGCTTCCATCCCCCAGCTGCTGGGAATATTGCCTGCTGACAGTTCACAGCTGTGTGCCTCACAGGAAATGTCAGAATTACAGGAGGCCAGGAGTTCCACAATGCAGTGAACTGCCCTATTCTAGATTACGACGTTCTCAGGGGCATCCAGAGATCAGGTGTACGCCTGTAATCCCAGCACTTTGGGAGGCTGAGGCGGCAGTTCGAGACCAGCCTGACCAACATGGAGAAACCTCACCTCTACTAAAAATACAAAATTAGGCCGGGCGCAGTGGCTCACGCCTGTAATCCTAGCACTTTGGGAGGCCGAGGTGGGTGGATCACCTGAGGTCAGGAATTTGAGATCAGCCTGACAAACATGGTGAAACCCCGTCTCTACTAAAAATACGAAATTTAGCCGGGCGTTGTGGCGGGATCCTGTAATCCTAGCTACTCGGCAAGCTGAGGCAGGAGAATCACTTAATCCCGAGAAGTGCAGCATTTTAGGGCGGGACCAGCTGGGGCCGGAAGGGGAGGTGCAGCTCTGCCCTCCCGAGACCGGAAGCGGAAGCGCGGGAGTGCGTTGTGAGAAGAGCCTCGGTCTCCTCGAGTGGGAAAGAGTCTTGATCTCCGCGAGTCGGCGTTTTGGGCCCGTCTGAAGGAGCCGGGCTCGGGTGATCGGCAGGTGGGGTTTCGGGTCCGAGTGTAGAGAAGGAACCCAGCCGCTGGCCCCGCGTCCCTCCCGGGAGCCGGGTTTCCGCCCCTGAGGCCTCGGGCTGGGAGCCCAGGTCAGCCCGAAGCTGCTGTTTCTTACGCGGTCGTGGCCCCTGCGCCCCATGGGACTTTGGACTCTAGTTGGAGACATTTCTGGAGGTCACAGAATGCAGGGTAGGAGGGACTGTGCTGCTGTAATCTAGAGGGTGGAGGCCAGGAATGCTCGTAGCGCAGCACCCTGCAGCGCGTAAAAGCAGCTGCCGCCTGCAAAGACTCTTCCAGCCCCAAATGTCGGTAGTGCACAGGTTGGGAAACCCTGCTGGAGGGCATTCAGGTCTCTGCAGTCCTGAATACACTGTAGAAATTATTCACAATTCAGCTGAGTCACTATAGGGCTATAGTGACGAATTTTAAGCATCTGGAGTCACCATAAAATCTCCAGCCACGTGAGTTAAGCAAGTCAAATGCAAACAGCTTTAAGCTCCTTGTTTCATTTTCGGGAGCACATGGCTGGAGAGGAATCAGGTGAATTCAGGCACAGCCGATAGCCTGGGTTCTTCTTATTCTTTAAATCAGTTTTTTTAAGTGAATGGGGTGGCCTTTCTATGCAACAGCTGTGTTACCCTCAATAAATACATTTTCCTATATGTACATATTACGCCCTACAAAAGGCCTCGTAAGCGATTTTTGTGCCCCCACCCCCCTTTTCAGACAAGAAAAGTATTCAGGCTCAGATTTGTGTTGAAACCAGCCTCAGGATTCACCCATCCTCACTGATGCGAGGATTTCTGTAAGATCAGGTGAGTACCGTGTAGAACTTGCAAGTTACAAGACTCCACTGTGTAGAAAAACTGCGAATGAGTTTTTCCTGTGCTCAGGTTGCAAACACAAGGAATTACTAAGAGTGAGCATATCTTTTTTTTTTTTTTTTTGATTCAGAGTGTCACTGTTGCCTAGGCTGGAGTGCAGTGGTGCTATCTCAGCTCATTGCAACCTCTGCCTCTCAGGTTCAAGCAATTCTCCTGCCTCAGCCTCGCAAGTAGCTGGGATTACAGGTGCGCACCACCGCACCCAGTTAACTTTTGTATTCTTAGTAGAAGACGGGGTTTTGTCATGCTGGCCAGGCTGTTCTCAAACTCCTGACCTCAGGTGATTCGCCTACCTTGACCTCCCAAAGTGTTGGGATTACAGGCGTGAGCCACTGAGCCTGGCCATAATGCAGATTTTCTTGAATGTCATAATAATAAAAATTTCAGACTTTTACAGATGTGTACAAATATATCAACTTTTCACATGTATATGTGAATTTTGGGAGTGCTGTTGTTCTGCCAGCCACAGGGACCAAATAGCAGAGACACTTGAGAGCTGTGTTCATTGAAGGGTGGAGGCTGAGAGGCTGCAGGGGGGAATGGGGAAAGAGCCACGGATCTCTGCTTGGTTCCAAGTACCAGTGAACACTTGGCCTGTGGAGAATGGCTGTCTATTCAGTTCTCTCCCAGTCCTTTCCTCCCTGGAGATAGGGCCTATGGGGATCATCCAGTATAAATTCCCTGGGCAAGAGATCTAGAAGGAAGCCAGGGCCTGAATGCTGCATCTCGGCACAAATTTGGAGAGAGACTGAGTGGCCCTGCCTTCCATGGACAGCCACCACCACCCACGCCCTGCAACTCTGTTTTGTCTACCTGGCCCACATTCACTCTTACAAATCCCTAAATCCAGATGCCAACCCCCCACTCCCCATCCCACCCTTGGCTGCTTTCATCTTTGTACACACACACACACACACACACACACGGAGACCTTTTCTCATAAAAAAGAAAACATTCCATATATACTGTTGGGTGCCTTATTTTTTTCCCCTTTAATTTACTGGGGATAATAACCTCTATTGATACCTGGAGATTTTATCTCTTTATTTTTTTGAGATAGAATTTCACTCTTGTTGCCCAGGCTGGATAGTGCTCTCTCGGCTCACTGCAACCTCTGCCTCCCAGGTTCAAGCAGTTCTGCCTCAGCCTCCCGAGTAGCTGGGATTACAGGCATGCGCCACCACGCCCAGTTAATTTTTTGTATTTTTAGTGGAGACAGTGTTTCACCGTGTTGGCCAGGTTGGTTTTTGAACTCCTGACCTGAGGTGATCCACTTGCCTCGACCTCCCAAAGTGACGGAGGCAGGGCACAGGCAGGAGAGGGGGTGACGGAGGCAGGGCACGGGCAGGAGAGGGG